ATAATCTCCCTTCAGCCATTTCCCGAATCAGAAGCTACAATCGGAAGCCAACTTGAACTTCGATCCAGACAGTCAGGAACGCCGCCACAGCTAGAGGACCGGACTGACGTTTCCTTCTGTGCAGTCCCGTTCTGTTTAGGATCCTGCTCAGAGTACGCATGCTATTAATGGTTTTAACCACAGTGCAAAGCAGCATCCGTATCTCTACATGTTGTAGACCAAACATGATAGGAAACCTGACCAATTCATGTTAGCCACTGTACTAGCCTAGCATAATACCGCCACTTCCTGGTCATAAAATTATCATGTTTTAACAAGATACATATCACGTTATAACGTGATAGCGGTCGAATTTTTTTTTTCCTGCGTGATAGCAATGCGCTTCCGTATAAATGCTTAATTTTTTTAGTGCAAATGAATCTGAACACACAGTGGAGTATACAACATACAACTGCATAAAAAATGTGTTAGTGTAAATAACATGCAGTGGGTTTTATGCATATTTAATCATCATCTTGTTAGTGATCATCAGATTTTAAGGTATTTAAAACCTGCAAAAGCAGACACAACCAGAAGATCAGTGATCTTTTGAAAATCAACAAAAACACACAAAGCTCCTATTCTGCTCCTGTCCCAGTTTAAGAAAATTTGGTTTAACATTCATCTCACTCTAACCATTATTTTTGGGTAATAAAACATCAATAATCTTTAGCGAATAATTACTTATTTAAATAAACAATGGCATTTGTTTATACATACACAACCTACAGAAAGACTAGTTTTATTCAGTCCACTGACTGATTATGCTGTGCAACTCTCTCTCTTTCGCCTCTGAGCTGTTGCTAAGGGCTGATTCCTAGAAGCATAATATCCAGTTTTTAGTTCGTTCCGGGGGGATTTTATTTATTGACAATAATGTCTGGATTTTTGTAGTTTTCGGGAGACCAATAAGCATCCTTAAAGTGACCTTTCTCCTCCCGGAGAATATAGTATGTCCTGTTTATGTACAACACACATACAGACAAAAAAAAGTCAAGCATTTCCATTCAACCCATAGGAACGTTTTTAAATTAATTCAAATGTTTGACTTACTTTTAACAAAAATGTAAATTTAGTGCGAAGATTTGTAATGACCATTTACCCTCTCCAGCAGACTCATCTCCTGGAAGTCAGGACTGGTGTTGGCCAATCGCTGCAGTGTGTGTGTTAGGTCAAAGTCAGTGCAGAAGTAGAAACCATCTGTATTCAGCACATTGTTAATCATAGCCAGGAAGGTCTTATTCTCCTGAGACTAAAGCAGAAAAACAAACATGTTTTCAGGATACACTTCTGTACTCTGGGACAAGTAATAAAAAATAAATAAGAAAAAATAAAATAAAATCAGTAGAAGATTTCCATCCATATCCATTTTCTTCGGGTCACGGGAGTAGCAGCAGCACAAACAGGTACAAACATATATGGGGGTACATGTACAGACATGTTCACATACATAAGTATACACACAAGGACGCGTACACACACACAACACACACATATATAAATTTATATGTGTGTGTTGTACAGTATACACATGCTGTACAATACATGCATGTTTGTAACACGAACAATTTTCTACACTTGCAGTTTTTCCAACTGCATAAATTTATATTGTTGTCAAACCTTTGAGTCTGAAAGCAAGAGATTGTTTTGGTAGCATACAAAAGGAACAATCTTGCTAACCTGTATCTCTGAGAGATGTAGCACCGTCTTCTTATAGGATATCACATCAAAGTCCACAGCCTTCCACACAGCATGGCCAAGGAGGTTGCCCACATTCCTCTTCCTGGTGATGACAATCAGGTACATCCCTGTGCAGTGAAAGTTGTGAGTCAAATTGCAATCTTTTTGAAAACTTTAAAGACATGCTAAACAGGACATTTTATAATATGTATACTGTAGTTATCATTAGTCACATACCTGCAACCAGACGAATAGTTCCCATGATCCCACAAATAGGTCTGGTGACAGCAGAGGGAGGAATATCATTTCTACCTACGAAACCGTGAACACAACAGGGAAGAAGTTGAAGAGAAATACACCTTCCTGTATATTACGTCCTTCTATTCATTGCTGTTAAAAAATCGTTAAGAGTTAACAGAATCACAGAGGTCTAGCAAAGAAGAGATGGAAAACAGCAGCTAATCATCAACTACGTTTCCACCATAAAACATCATGGAGCAATACTATGAGATCAGTGTGAGTGCAGTGCTTGCTATTCAGATGTTCTACCTGTGAGGGTCATCTCGTTTGAAACCCGGTCAATGACTAGGACAGCATCAGCTCCTTCATCACAGGCCTCAATGAAGAACTTTTCAGGGGTCGTGTGCCTACGAAAACAAGTTGAAAACATTCAAATTCATCAAATGAAATGCATAAGATTCTCCGTTATCCAACTATACATTCATATAGGTCTATGTAGTGTAAATTATGGGCAGGTATCTGCCCATAATTTACACTACATAGACCTATATGAATGTAATCTGATCAAGGACACATAATAATTAGACTGTCAGAAGCAAAACCAAGAAAACAATAAACTGACATTAAACAGGAAGAAATATAGTCGGAAAGAGAACTTTCACGTTCCCTTCTCTAAGCTTGTCTTCAATTTTATGCGAAGCAAAAGGGAATCAGCTCTGTTACCATGTTAACAGATTGAAACCCAGTCAACATCTAGACTTGTTTTATCTAGACGTTTCTCCCCAGTGTTAGCCGCTACATCACTTAACCTTAAAACAGGTACAACATAGATTTACACAAAATATAAATACAAGAGTCCATCTTGTTGATACATTTGCATTTCCTCATAAGTCATGTGATGCAGTCTGGTAGAGGCTGAATTTATTTTTAAATTACTGGCTCTGCTGCTGCCCTAAGAGATGAAAGCAGAAGAGATTACACTCAACAACAGACTTATGGAAGACATGCGGAAAACCTTGATGGACCTTAGCTTCCTCAAGAAGTACTGTCTGCTCTGTTCTTTCTTAAGGGAGTCTTCACTGTTGCGTCTCCAGTTCAGATTGTTGTTGAGATGAACACTGAGGTATTTATATTCCTCAACCACCTCCACTTCCATGAAGGAAAAAGGGTTTAATCAATCATCTCCTTTGTTTTGTTTACTTTCAAGATGAGATAATAGTTTCCACCATAGACATATATAAAGAATAGACGCCTAATGGACCATTTTTGCACATAGTTGCTGATGTCACATAGAGCAGCCATCTTGGAGCTCTACTCAGCATTATATGTTTGGCAGGCGCAATGATTTTAATTATAACTCACTGAATACTAAACAGATTTTCACACTTTTTTGCTGGAAACCTTATTCAAACAGCTATCACAGCTACATGTACAAGAACATTTGTTTAATTGCTCAGTCAGATCATTTGTGATCCTAGGTTTGTAATTAGAGAAGCATCTCACTGTTCTGGTTTGGGCTGTGTTGTCCACACAGAAATTTACACAGAAGGTCACACACTCAGTCAGTCATTGATGTCCTCTCCATGTGGCTGGCAAAGAGCAGCCCAGTCTGTAGCCTCAAAACAACCCTGCAGGACATCTTTAACTTTCTGTGACCACTTTCTCACAGAGCTTTTCATTCCAGGTTGTCTGTGAATAAGGGGTTTATATTCTGAGCAGAGTAAAATAAGGTTGTGATGTGATTTTCCCAGAGGAGGCCTGGTTTACACATATGAGGAGCTAGGTACTGCTTGTTTTTGTTGCAGTAAGTTTGTGGTCTCAAATGTTTTGTTGGTTCGCCACCAGAAGGATGTACCAGTAAGTGAAATTGGAGGCAATTTTGTGTCAAAAGATCGTGGGCCTCTGTGAGTCCAGTGAGCTCACTGGGGAAACAGACTGAACTTGTATGCTTACCAAAGCAGGTTATGAGTACTAGAAGTTTATTTCTAACTGACAGGAAGAAGCTCAACTTGACTAAAGCAAGCTGTACATATGGCCTAACAGATGTAATTACATTTTTAAGTCATATTAACTAATTTAAAGGGTGTGATTCATAGATTTTATCGTCCCAAATGGAAAATTCTTCTCAACAAACCAGCTCAATTCATTCTAAATAAACATGAACACTCTTGACATATAGATTTTTATCTAAATGGGATTTTATTTTATCAGTATAACAGCCAGCTGGATAACATGATTAATTTGTCCTTTTGTTCTGTGAACTTTAGTTGACGTTATGAGCAGCACAAAATTACAACCATAAAGACATTCATGACAGATGCCAAAATTTCTGTGTAGTACAATCAAAAGGCCCTTGTTAGATTAAATAGAAAATTTAAACAGAAAGTAGCTTATGTCATAGGTTATTAACTAGAAAATTTCTGTCTATCATTTTATGTTCAAGTTTGGTGACTGATGATTTTAGATTTAACAAGACTGACAAAAATACCAGAAAATATCTAACAAGTTCTGTTTTAATTTCCTGATCAAATTAAAAATCTTTTTTTTTTAGTCGTTAAAGTAGATATGCCACTAAAGCTGAAATACCAAAGCAGATTATGAGCTCATACAATAATAATCTGCCCATTCTGCTCATGAGCTAAACAATCTCTCATGAGTCTTTATTACGAGTAAAGGACAAAGGTCCTAACAATTGGCTACTTAATTTATAGCAACTTTAAAAAACTTCTTCTTCACACAGAACAACAGTATGATCCCTTTCACAGAGACCTCAATTTCTATCATTTTGGCAAAAACATGAGCCAAGCATGCCTGGACTGAGTTCAGGCCTTCAGGGAGTGGTGACAGCCAAAGGCTGAACAGCAAGGACTACTGAAGTTGAAGAACAAAGAAAAAGTAGAAAAAGTGTTTGTTTGTCATAAAGAGAAAAGACTTTGTTTCTATTTTGAATTGTTTAACATTCATTAAATATAGCAGTGATATATCGACTCTTAAGATGTGAATGAAAAAATGTCTGCCATATTAGCAATGTTAGGAGGAAATGTGGGTCTAAATTCCTTTTTCTACTTATGAGAGAGTCTGGTAAGGTCATACTGAAGACAGTTTCTGAAGTGCAACTAAAGGTCTTCCACTATCTGGTAAATTATGGGGTGCACCTATCTTATCTTTTGACTGTGTAGTAGACAATCACAGAAATCTGTTTCTCATCACTGTACAAATCAGGAGAACCAGAAAACATGGCTAAAAAGGTTTACTTCTAGCTTTATGTTTTTAATAATATGTCTTAATTTTTTAAGTTATAAAATTAAGACTTAATTTTTTTATTAAAAATAAATAAAAAATATTTGCTTTTTCAATTAGAAAAAGCAAATAATTGCTTTAGAAAAAGCAAATAGAAATAAAAAAAAACATTTTGAGTTAATGATAAAGAAAATAAGCAAGGCAACCAACAGTGGAAATCCCTAAAGCAGCCATTTGTAGACAGCCAGCTGTTGCAGTGGCATAACTACTTTGTTGGTCTTGCGTAATCTAGACCAGTCTCCACAAGCATGCACTAAAATAACCACAACACTCTCCTAAACCGAGTATTTCCCCAGAGCCCATTATTTGCAACCAACTAATAATCAATTAATTATTTATTTAAATGGAGGTAACATTTAGCTTTAAACTGGCGGCTCCATCCTCCATACCATCTTTGACATGAGGTCCGGACATTCAGCTTCTTTAGGTTGCCTGATCTCCTACTGCAGATGGCAGAAAAGGAGGGATAACAGGTAGAACTGGATGACTCACACTCTGAATGAAGGTGTATACCAAAGGTGTGTCTTAATAACACCGTTGTTTGGTCAAAAAAATAAAAAATAAAAAAAACAAGGCCAACTGTCAACGGACAGTTGCTCATAAAGCCTTTTGTTTTATGAGAGACGAGTGGGTATAAGCAAATCACGGAAGTCAGATTAACACAAACGTTAAGCAAGAATACACTAATTTCTTTTCAGTGTGATGAAGATTATGACGATTATGGACATGATTGATAGCAACCATGTTCACCGCACACACCAAATGCTTTCATTGATCTCAGCCTTGTGTGTACTTTTCATTATAAATAAGTGAAATGCGAAGCTCGGATGACTCCTGCTCTGAATTTCGATCCTATCAGCAAACTTCAGACTGAACTTCTGCTTCAGTATTAGCTTCGTTGGAACCTCTTATCGTTGGAAGCTTCGTTTTTTATTAAAGTCAGACTAGGACAATAACTGCTACTAGGATAGTTACCAAAGTTAAACGAAAATTACTTACAAATTGTATCTCTCATAGGCGGTCGCCATTTTCCTTCAGAATGGTTGACCTCAGTGACGACAGCATATATAGTTACTTTCCTTTGTGTTGCCAGTTAAGTGTCTGAAAGCAGCTTTCCCGTCCAGCCCAGTACAACCTGGCATCCACACAAGGCGAGAGGATTTTTGGTATTTGTAGTTCAATGCGACTAGAACGCTGCAAGTCATTGTGGATCCTAGTGAGTTGCAGGATCCGCATGTTTAACACATGGTGACACAAGGTTTACACGTATGAGACTGCTATCTTTGGCTTTGTTGCTTTTGTCAAAAAAGAACTGTGACTCCTTCATTATCATCAACCTCATTGTACTTCTTGTTAAATACTATGTACAAAAATGCAAGCTCAGTCATATAGATCTGTATTATCATCATGAAAGACTTGAATTGGTACTATAATCTCGTTGTTTCATTCAATAATCCAAAAGCCAGAGAAATTGTAAATTTTGTAAGAATTGATTATGTTGTAACCTCTTTTTGTTAGTTGTCATGTTGTCACTGCATGTATAAAAGTTCTCCCAGGCAAGTTTGTTTCTTTTTGTTTGTTTGTTTGTATTACATCAATGTTTTAACAATTGTTAATAATGACTTTTAAAAGGCACAAGGTATACTGATGTATAAGCTTCTTGCAACAAGAGTCTGGATTTTTTGCAATATGTTTTTACTGCTTGAAGATTGAGGTATATTTCAATGTTTTTTGTTTGTTTGTTTTTTAAATGATATGGTGGCACTCCCAGTGTCACCTGTCACAGCTGCCCGTACATGCAGAGAGAGGGGATCGGAGGGGGCTTGAGACCCTGCCCCTTTTATCCTTGATGAACGACCAAGTGCCCTTTCATGAATTTTTTTTCCATTTATTTATTTATTTATTTATTTTTTTGTGCCTCATGTCTCTCCATATGTTTGTCTCCGTCAACAATAGTATTTAGCTAAAAAATAAAAATTTTGCAAAATAAATTAACATGGCTGCCCATAATGACTTTGAACGGATACTCAGTGCCTCTGCATCTATGTTGTTAAGACACCGGGCCATGGTAAGGATGTCAGGATGAGAGGTGCGGAACTGTGTTATGGGCAAACTTTTTTTTTTCCAACATACACTGGTTTGTGCATAAAAACGTAAGTCTGATGTTAAAGTTAGAAAAACCATTTCTATTTATTTTCGGAATTGTCCTCACATTAAAGGAAAAAAGCCTAAAGACAGAAATGGTTCAGCTGCAGAGAAAATTTCTGACTATAAAATTAATTTTATCAGGCTGCTCTAGTTCTGGACTAAATGCTCGGTTCACTATAGGCAACCTGAATCGGTCCCATCTCTGTGGGTCAGAATCAAATATCTCCTGATATAAAGTAACAGTACCGCAACAGTTATAGCGACCAATGATGTCAGTAATGCGTTACTCAGTAACGCGTTGCTGACATACTGTTCAAGCTGTGGCGCCAGCACGACTTCAGCTGCCTTTACCCTTATTTCTGAGGCAGCACCCATCATTAATTCGGCCACCACCGAGGGCTCTCCAGAAGCATAGGCCAGTCGCTCTCCTGGACCCAAATACTCACCAATATGGTGTTAACCCGGGAAAAAGTTAGACTAGACTAGCCGTAGCAACAGTCCTGATGGGGACCTGAGACGATACCCCCAAAGGCTGGTCTCTTTGGGGCTAGTACAGGAACAGGCCCTAAACACCAGAGCAATAGAGGCTCAGATCTACCACACCAGTCAAGACCCCATGTGTAGGTTGTGCAAGGAGGCCCCGGAGACAGTCCAGCACATAACAGCAGGGTGCAAGATGCTGGCAGGGAAAGCATACATGGAACGACATATCCAAGTGGCAGGCATAGTGTACAGAAACATCTATGGACTGGAAGCCCCGAGATCAAAGTGGGGAACACCTCCAAAGGTGGTGGAGAATGACCGAGCTAAGATCCTGTGGGACTTCCAGATCCAGACAGACAAGATGATAATGGAAGGATGTGGTGAAGGATGAACAACGGAAAAAGGAGCAGGAGAAACTGGAGAAATACCAGGGCCTCAGAGAGGAACTGGGAAAGGCCTGGAAGGTGAAGACCACAGTGGTGCCTG